AAATTGTTAGATTTTGGGTTATGCCAACCACCAGACTAATATCTCAAGGATATAAAACGCCATTCAGCATAAAGAAAAAAAGTTGGGGAAAGGTGTAAACATTGAACTGAGTTGTGGTGCACTTGATCCTGATGCTACAGCTCCAAATGGAGACAAATGCAACATGTCTGTGTTTAAAGCCAGTTTTCCAACAGAGGAGAATGCTACAATGGCAGCGTGACACCTGTACCAAGGAGTGAGTCCAGCACTCCTCTGAGCAGGGACTGTTTAACCTTCACCACTGCTCACACCTGAAGGGTTTCTCTCTGAATGTTCTTCCCCAGCCCTTTGCTCTCTCATTTCTTAACATGGGGGTTTCACAACTGCAAACCAGTTTTGTTTTCATTTTAGCTTTCACGACTTTCCTGTTGTCTTTAAACATGTACAAGGTAGTAAGGGGCTTTCTTTGTTACCTTTCACTGAAATATTCATATTAAGATGGAAAATTCCAGAGAGCAGTTAAGAACAGAGAAGGCAGGATTACCACACATCGAAGATAAGCAGCATTTGCTAACTCCTTTGTTTTACATGTATGTGATACACAAACTGCTTCATGAAAATGGAAAAGTGATCGAGGAATCGCTCAGGTCAGGGAAAAAAAAAAAAAAAAAACCAAAACCAAAAAAAACCACAACCAAAACTAATAGCAACAACCTAATTTCCATGAAAATGGGCTGGTCTCCAAAGCATCTGCCAAGACCAGACACCGTGGTGCTTGCAGTTTTCCTTTGTTTGCTCTTCAAAGCAGGTAGAGCCAGGAACATTCCCGTGCCTCATGCCAAGCTGTAAGATGTGGTACACGACTTTCAGATGAGGGAATTTCACATTTCTCCCTGAATATTTCACACTACTACAGCAAGGAGAAAAGCACAGACGCAGCTGAAATGAGGAGGAGATTAATTGAAAGGCTAAAAATGGATTCTTCAGCATTACTCTGTAGCACGGGGAACTGAGAAGGCAATTAAAACCAACATGAAAGGAGATTTAATTGCAAATCAGCGAAACCTGCCGAAGCACAGATAGCAAGAGGCAAAGAATCACCCGACCTGAATCCCAAGCCCTTTCATTGCCCTCAGCTCCGGGGGCAGCCGATGGCGAGAGATGAGCCCTTCCCCAGGCTCTAAGGGCGCTGCCCCGCGGAGCGTCTCCCTCAGCCGCGGCTGCCCTGCTTCACCCTCACACACAGCCACAGCAAGGGAGCAAATGCAGGACAAAGCCACCGGCCCCTCCGCCCTCACACACAGCCACAGCAGGGGAGCAAATGCAGGACAAAGCCACCGGCCCCTCGGCGGGGAGAGCAGCCCAGCCCAGCCCAGCCCAGCCCAGCCTCCCCTCACCGTCCCGCCGGGTCAGCGCCGCCAGCGCTGAGGGGAAAGCCGAGGCGAGGCGGGAGGAGGGCGCGATGGGCCCGCTGAGCCGCGGCCCGGCCGCCTCCTCCGCGCCATTGTTTCTGTGCGTGGGCTTTAAACCGGGGCTGTAGGGACTCCCAACACCTTCCCCGAGGATGGGCAGGAGGAGCCGGGAGAAGGGGGAGAGGGAGGCCCGGCAGCGCCGAGGACACAGCGGGAGGACAGGCGGGACTGGTTTGGAGGGGGTGGGCAGCACGTGGGAATGGAAGGAGGCAGGGTGGGAACACCCTCAGCCTTTGGTCAGGCAGCTTTTAGCATTTCAAAGCGTCTCTTGCCTTTGTGACTCCAACCGCTGACTGAAACAGGCAAGCAGGTATTTACAGGATCAGCCGAGCCCCTCCTGCCTAAGGTGCCCTGAAAGGCGTCGCTGCTGTGTCCTGCAAGCAAATCGCGGTGTCTCGTTCAAAGGCTCCCCTGGTGCCGGGGCGGGATTATGGAAAGGGCCAGCAGCTGTGCAAAATGGGAAATGTCAGGGGCCTGCTGCTGAACTCGCTTCGGGAGGCGTCCCTGGGTGTTCTCTTGGGTGGCTGAGTGCAGATAGGCACAGTGACAAACAAAGGGACAGGCTCCCTTGGATGCTCTCCTGGGTGGCATGGTGCAGATAGGCACAGTGACAACCAAGGGGACAGGCTCTCCTGGATGCTCTCCTGGGTGGCAGGGTGCAGACAGGCACAGTGACTAACAAGGGGACAGGCTCCCTTGGATGCTCCCCTGGGTGGCAGGGTGCAGACAGGCACAGTGACAAACAAAAGGACAGGCTCCCCTGGATGCTCCCCTGGGTGGCAGAGGCCGAGCAGGCACGGTGACAAACAAGGGGATGCATCCATCCCCCTTCTGAGCAGAGCACCCCAAGCCCAAAAGCAGCCCACGACCGCAGGCACCTGATGTGCTGCTGGTTCCAGAGGCACAGGGTGGGGTACAAGGAGGGGAATCTGCTTTCCTCTTCAACACAGAAAACATCAAAGCTGTCCTACAAAATTAAAAGCTTATGGACGGGCTCTTGGTGTATTTTAAAATGCAAAGCGGACTCATTTCAAAGCACTCTTGCCAAAGGTCTTTCCTGAACGTACATCACATGCAATGGAAAAACACTGCATGCCTGGCATTTAATATTTTTCACCTGTGACCCAGGATTGATGTCTGTGTAACTCCCTGATTTAATCCAATGACATGTCTCAGCAAGCAAAAAACCCTTTCAGAGTTTGAAAAGGAGTTGGAAAAAAATAAAGTCACACTCAACACTTCCCCTTCCCTGGAGAGATAGGAGTGCTGCTTGCCCTTTCCTGACGATAAGCATATCCTGGTGGTTAAAAATACATTTTGCTCTTACCGTAAATTCTCCATTAGCCAACTCCTTCAGCCCAACCCACAGTGTTGGGGTTCATGATTCCTTAGAGGCCACACGTGACAGAGCTTGGCATGTGCACACCCAAATGCACTCGGGAAAAAGGAAAAGTAACAGCTCTGATCCTGCTGCCAGTGGCTTCACCTGGAGCAGAGAAATCTGTGGAGTGGCAAAAACACTCAGCTCAAATGACTTGTACGAAGACCCCATAGACCCTGCATCAATTTCTGACTTTACAGCTGCTTCCAGACAAAAAGTTATGGCTTGTATTGAATTCTGAACAGCAATTAATTCTTCTGTTAATTTTACTGTTTCCAGTGATCCTTGTGCAAATGGACAACTCAGTAAAATGGAGCTTAGTGAACAGCAGGTTCCGGCTGCTTGATTTGAGATTGTGAAGGCCAGAAGCCTGTTCTTCACCTGAAAAACTGAGCCTGTTGAAAGATGGCTCCAAAACTTGGGCTATGCAAAGGACACAAATGCCATTTCTTACCAAGGAGACACCAGCCCTGGGAAGAGCCTGGCTCAGCAAAGCTGGGGTTGCTCACACACACCCAGATGCCTCTACAGCAGCTCCAACCTGCAGGGATCCTTTGCCAACTGCATGCCTCTCCTAGAATATTCCTGCCAGGAAAAAGCTGATGGGACACTCCTCTCTCAGGCTGAGGTAGAAGCTGGTGAACAACTGTGACTCCCTGTGAAACAGAAATCACCAGAGTCACAAGTCCGGTTGCATAAACTTAATACTTTGCCTTCTTGGCAAGTATCTTGCAGTTAAGGAGGCACAGAGAGACCTTGCTCCCAGGCATCAAGAGCTTCAGCTGAAAATCCTGTTTGAGGAACCAGTTCTGGATTTCTCCCGTGAGACCTAAGGAAAAAGAATTTGAGGGGTTAAAAAGAGGCAGAAATGGGAACTTCAAAAGTTATATCACCTCTGTGCATAAGAGGTAAAGGAAACCAGGCAGCAGCCCTCTTCCTTTTCTGTTAGGATTCCAGGCTGTGGAATAAAGATAAATCCAAGTTCACCCTCCTGTCTTTGTTTCCAAGACTCAGTAAGACAGGGGAGATATGGCAGAGCCCATCTACACAGCCATAACCATAGGAACACCAGCAACAAGGGTAAATCAACACGAGATTCCCTATCATCAGTCTGTGTTTACACTGGAGGCCTCAGGCTCCCTGCACCAACCTGGCTGGCAGTCCTGGACCTTGGTATGGCTGTGGAACTAAGTAAGGAAAGGGATTTATGGAACAAATATTAATTTTTCTGTCCTAGTTCCCACCATCTCTTTTAGAACACTTATGTACAGCATCTGGTTTCTGCACTCTGCTTTGAAGGTGTGTTGCTGCCTTCCCCCTTCATTCCCCTTGCTCAAGCTGCCCCAAACCCCAGCTTTTCCTTAACTCTGACCTCACACTTGGCCATGCATGCCTCAGTCCTTTTGTTTAGGAAAAGGTAGAAAGAGCTCTGGGTATTTTCCTGAAGATCAAACCCAGGGGAGGCAGCCCCAGCAGAGGCAAGGTACCCCAATGCCAGTACCCCAGTGCAGGCAGCAGCACAGCATGGAGGCAGAATATTGCTCAACTGCAGTTGCAGCTGCTTGGCATCTTAGAAATGTGCAGGTCTCTGAACTTGCAGGGGTTGCGTCTGCACGCTGTGACACAGTCAAGGGTCGGAATATCAGGCAGCCCTGGAAGGAGCTGTTTGTACCTGCCCTTGGGAGCAGTTATGCTTCACATATTTTTCTCCTCTGCTTTGAAAGGTCACATGGAAGAGCAGTATTTGTGAAGGGGATGAGTGAAGGTGACTGCTGGGGAGAATGGACACCTTGAAACAACCACAAGAGCTTTTCCAGGTGAGCAGAAGCTGCTTCCCACTCCCATTTTTCCTAGGGTGGCCACTGACAACATCCACGGCCCAGCAACAACAAGCATTTACTGCCTGGGCAGAGCCAGGGAGAGACTGATCCCACCTCCCGTCATTTCCTCATTGCCTTTCCTTCTCCATTTATTTCCTTTGGGTTTTCCCCTTTGATTAAACTTCTGGCATGTTGGAATGTTTAATAATAAAACAGATAACTCATGGGAGATGATATTTATAAAATCTACTCTTTTTTTTTTCACTTTTTATAAGACCTTGAGAGAAAATGTTCTTCCTTTTAAAATTAAAAAAAAAAACCCAAAAAACAGAAGGTGCAGTTAACAAGTTTTCAAACAATCAATGTTTTATTTGGTTAATTTATTAAACACCTTTAAGACAATTAATTTTGGTCTGTACCCTTCTATAAAATGATTCAAGTTCTGAACAAACCTCCGATACATAAAGCAAAGTTACTTTTACCATACGCAAATTTCAGATCAAAATACAACACTCTGTTTTCTTACATTTATAAAACCCGGTCAAATACAAACGACATTAAAAAAGATAAAACACTTTCACTGATCCTTGGTACAATATTACAGCACAATTTGCACAGTGGCAACTAAGTCCTCAAAGCACAAGTCAAATACTTTAAAAAGGGAGCCTCCCTTTAGTCACCCAATGTCCTACTGAACACGTAAACAAAGCGAGTGCTACTGAATCCAGGAAAATTCCCGTGTCCCTTTTCATACCATGTGTGAGCCACAAAGCAATTCTGCAAGGGAAGCTACTGGTGAGTAACCAAAGAGCTTTCCTACTTTGCTGTTACCAGTTTTTGTGCAACTACTCCATGAAAATAAACAAATGGAGGTGGACCAGACTCTGCACTGGGCAATTTATGGCAACTAAAGTAAACCAAGAAATTAGTGTTTTTCTAAAAATAGACCATAAAACTATTAAAAAAATACCAAATTTCATGGGTACAACTAGAGTAACTGCCTTTTGTTTCATCTTCAAGACATCTAATGAAGACACAGAGTGTTTTCAATTTTTGAGTTTGTTCAATTGCAAAACCCAGTGTTTCAGCAATGGGTCAAAATACCATTAGAATTGCACATTTTTCATCAATTACAGAATGCATGGTTGCATGAAACGCTCATTTGGTGCTACACCTGAAAGCCTGCACTTACACTAACCTGTGAACATGAGGGATGTTCTATGAAACACAAACAAGAACAAAAATTAAAACTACAAACATAAAATGATAAAACTCAAGTCTCAGTTGATAAACATTCCTGGGAAGGTCCTACTTAGCAAACCTTGCAGCAACACCTCGAGAAGAGAAAGTAAAACCAGAAAAATGGATAGGTCTGATGTGTCCCCTCGGGCTGTGCTTTGCAAAGGCAGTCAGGGCAGTTGTACCACAGTGCAACTGAAGGGTTTTTGCCTGAAGTTCTGCAACCCCTTAATTCCCCCCACCCCCAAACCACTGATTTTACTCACAGTTCAATTGTAACTTCAGTTATTCAGTCCCATCTAATGTGAAAACGTGTACATCATTAAATGGAAAAATGCACTAATGGATCTGACTTTCCTCTCTCCTCCCTCCCCAAACTCACATCAAACCCACGAGGACACCACACACTCCAAAACTTTTCCTATCTGTTAATGTTCACATAATCCTGACAGAACAGAGAACTGCAAACTGCACAAACAATACATAGTTAAATAATGCTAAAGTGTAAACAATACAGGATGGACATAGTTTAATAAAACCCTGGTGAGGTACAGCAAAAACTTAATTTCCTAATTTAGTGTTTTAAGTGCAATTGAAACGCTGCTGTACCACCCTTCTGCAAACATACCTCTCCAGAATTAAGCTGCACTACTAGGCTTATTTTCTTAAAGCTACATACCCATGCTATAACTCATTATATTGACTTAATGCAAATATTTGTGGGGAAAATTAATTTACAGGGTTAATTAAAATCTTTTTAGTATTCAAAAGGAATGATAGTAAAGGGATCAACCATGGAAAATGTGGTAATACATGTTTTTTAAAAGATTTCCAATAATTCTAACACAAACCAGCAAGTATATTTTGAAAAATGCATAGAAACCCTGTCAATACAAAAATCCCCACTGAAATTACACAACTAAGCAATTTTAATCTAAATATTTTATGTGCTTTTCCTATAAAGGCCACTTTGACGTACAAATACAAAAAAATTTACATTTTTCCCCAAAATAAATTATTTGTTCCTCAATTAAAAATACTGAATATGGAAGCATAACAACCCTCACTCATGCCAGCTGCTCATCTGCAGTGGCTATTTCTGAAGAAGAAAATCTCCTAATATTTTCAGTTACCAAAAGAAATAAGAAATGGCTTCAGCCTGTGGTCTGCTTAGCACTAGGAAAAACCTGGGGGAGGGAATGGAACAGGCTGAGCCCCTTACACCGCGTGTGCTGGGGAGGAAATGGATGTACACAGAGAGAGCTTTCCTGCTTGTCTCCCAGGCTATGCACCAAAATCCCTGTTTGGAATCAGAGAAAGAAATCGAGGTCAATCTCAATTAAAGAGAGACAAAATAGTAAAGGGAATTAGGAGGCAGAAACTGTATGAGGTCCAGGCTTAAGGAAATGAAGAATTCATGATCACCTGGGAGAGGAGAGCTCCTCACGGGAGGCAGAACCAGGAAAAACTGTACCCGTTTTTTAACAGGGGGAAGAAGAAGAACACAAGGAATAAATTTCATTGGAAAAATGAAGCAATGGGAGAACAAAGAACCTTTACCACAAGTCCTGACCACATGGGCATTTATCGCTGAATTGCCACAGAAGCAAAAAGACCAAACTCGCACAGAAGTGGCAGAAATGAAAACGTACTTGGACTGATTGGAGACATCACAGGGATTCTTTACTGTAAGCACCAGATCCACAAGTGACTGACACAGGGAAAGCAAGACAACACCAACCCAGAGGGCACAGCAAACCCCAAACACCTGACATGCTCTAGGGCAGGGAGGTGCAAACATGCTGAAGTGGCCCCAGAGGGTAAAGCCACAGTGGTGGGGTTACAGGACAAGCTCCAGTTGACAACACCATGGGACAACAGGAGGGACACACACGGAGATCACATCATTCTGAGCCAAAACACCCAGCAACCTGACCTGGCGGAACTGCTGGGTCAGGCAAGGGGGCAGGAGCAAAAGCAGTGAACTAGAGTTGATCTGGATACGAGATTCGTGGGCAGCCATTGAGTACAAGCTCTCCTAACCTTGGACCAAGGACTGGGTTTGGAAGGACACAGGAGCTGCACTTCTGTATCACAAGGAATTCAGCTCTCTGGTGTGCTGTATTGCATAGTTTGATTGAGGTCAAAGAGCATTTATGTCTTATTTTTCCCTGTTTTAAACAGAAGTAACTCAGCATACCCCGATCAGAGCATTCCAAACCCTGCCCCCAAGTGATTAATCAATTAATTTCTAAAGATTTTGAGGTGGACACATAAAAGATAAAACTCCATTCCCACACAAAGCACAGAAGGACCCACAGAACATGTACACACACAGAAAGGCTGTAACAGTAACCACATCTGTAACACAGGAGTCAGAGCACGACAGCTGCATGATGGGGATAACCCTTGCTGTCCAGCTGCATGCCACAGATGGTAAAGAAGAGGTGAGTACTTTTACCTCACCACACCAATGTGCCTTTTGTAGAAAAGGTGGCAATATATTCTGACAATATCCTGGTAATTATCAAGATCTTAGATTTGACAGAACATTGAACCTTTAGGAGAGCGGCAGCAACGTAACATCACATTCCAACACCCTCCTATTACTTGGTTCATGGAATACAGGCATCATAATTGGATTATTCAATCGTTTTTTCATTCTCTTAAGATATAAGAGAGTATTTGTACTGTACATAGTCAGACTAAGTACACTAGTTATCATTCTTATAATACATATTCATTTCTTTAACCCAATCCCACAAGATTCATGGAACTCAATAAATATGGTTTACCGAGAGAAAACTCTGAAGATAGAGCATCTAATGTGAATACATTTCAGTTTTTCCTTCTGAAGGTAAAACAATTCCAGCTTATCAGGGTCCCACTCTGGATTATAGAGCAGTGGGCATACAAACTGGGATGCAGTTTCACATCTCTGGTTTCTCAAAAAAAGAAAAAAGTGCAGTGGAAAAACAGGTGGCCAGAAGCTCCCTGGCTCTTCAGGCCAGTACCTGTGGTTCCACACTGCAGACATAGTTCCAGAACCCACAGTTCCATAGCTCCAGAAGTTTCAGATTTAAATACAATAAATGCAAAATAGCAAATCTCCTATAACAGGCCATCAATCTTTATATCGTAAGGGACAGTGTGGACTCATCCTTACCTGTGCAGCAGGGAGCAGCTGCAAGGCAAGGAACAATGCTGCTCCTCAGCCTTCCCTAGAATGAGAGGATCAGGAATTTGCAAGCTCAGTAGAGTTTCTCCACTTTCAGCTGTTTTCAACAGTTTTCAGCTGTTTCTCAGAAGCACTGCAGGTAACACAGATACTCCTGTGAGGCCACCAACCAGTGGCTCCTCTGCAGTGACAGCCTGGATGAGTTTGGATGGTCCAGAGGGCAGCACCCAATGTGTGAAGGAGGAGAAGGACAAGGCAGTCTCTGGACTCTTTTCAAAAGGCTAAAGGACACTGACATTAATATGAGTGAAAAATGCTACAGCACTGGGACTGCAGAGCCTATAAGAAGACAATAAATAACCTGATGTCTGGAGATGGGACAAATTCAAACATCAACCCTTGATCCTGCTGCTTCAGACAGGGCAGGAGTAGGACTTTATGTGCTTCAGAGAAAGAAAAACCTTCCTGTAGCAGTGTTACCAAATGCCTAAACCAAACTGATGATACAGATCAAACGAAAATAAAGGCAGCAGAAAAAGGACAACAACAAAGTTCCTATGCAGGACTAAAATTCAGCTCTCGCCTCCAGAGCTTGTGTCTACAAGAACCTCTTCTCAGAGTGCCCAAGCCGATGTCACTGCAATGGCAGCACTTGGAGCTTCCCTCCTCCCTCCTCCTGAGCACTAAACCCTGGGGGGCTGAGCAGGAGGGGTCTGAGACAAACCCTACACTGGGCACAACATCCCAGTGACCTGCCAGCCACATGGGTCAGCGTGTCCCAGACACACAGCCATGTCCTGGGACCAAGCCTGGGAAGATTAATATTTATGGAATAGCCACCATGATGCTAATGGAAGGCTCTGGAATTAGCAGCTAATTGGTACAGTCTGCAGAGTTAATGAATAGCTCCTTGTTTCACCCCTGCTATTTGTGCATGGCCACTAAAATGTTTGCTACATTGAATTCAAAGTTAGTATCAGTGGCTCCTCAAAATTTTAGAGGAAAATATCCTCTGTGATGCATTTCTTGGTTTTGCCTTTACAAAGAAGGGAAAAGGGAGCATTTTCCCATTATATTTTGCATTATTAAGGCCTTTTGACAGTTTGGAAGCCATCTTTATGAAAAGGGATGCTTTTCAAAATAGAGATTGAATACTCAAAGAAAAACTCCACAGAATAAACACAAGCTGATTACCAGCTTATATTGGTACTTTTAGAAGTCAAGCACAGTGTAAGGAATTCAAAACTATGTCGAAATAGCACCTTTAGGAGCAGAAGAAAAGACACTTTTTAAAAAACTTTTTCAATCTAAGCAAAATCCCACATACCTGAAGATCACAAAGAAATGGTCAATGACATTAGTTCAGGTATGGAAGGCAGGTAGTGATTTGAACAGTTTTTCCTCTGCAGGTGATTAAATGGGAAACTCCACAGAAAAATATCTAAGTAGACATTACAGAAAAATCAGTGAATCTCTCTATTAAGATAATGTATCAAGTCCACAGGCAAAATAGTGAGAGCAGAGTAGAGGCAGAGAGAAAACTATCTGATCTGTCCTTAAAAGAGCAGAGACTTCTATTTTTTTGAACAGATCGCTTCCTATTTAAAAATCATCAGGACAGCCTTTCAATTGCTACTCTCATTTCCAAGTATAATAGTTATTATCAAGTAATAGAAATTTTTATTTACTTTTTACAGCAGCTGCAGGTCAACCTTGGTCTTTTTGTACAGAAACATTAATTTAAAATGAAATTAAACTGTCCTTGGACAATGGTACCATTCTGTCCTGCTTCTTGTCTGCTTTTAGGTTTTTTTTTAATTGAAGGACAAAATGTGATTTAAAACAAAACAAAAAATATTTGACAAAGTGCAAAGAAAGAAAAAATGAGGTAGCTGGGAGTAGGGGCTTTTCCCCCCAGGACAAAGCGCCAGACTTCCAGGCACAGTGACACACATGAGGGACTGGGCTACACCTGCTCTACCTGCAGGTTTGCTTACAAGTGTTCAGGTGATCTCTGACCTGCTGGCATCAGTTCTAGAAGCTCCAGGAAAAGTCATTTCATTGTGTGCTAAGCACTGTCCCCACACACACTGATGTGCAGAGATGTGCAAAAGCCACAGAGAGCAAGTTGGTGTGGCCACCCTCTGACCCACAGCAGTTGTGCTCCCTGGCCCGTGGGCACAGGCCATGTGTTCAGAGGGAGAATGAAAGCAAAATCCTGTTAGTAACAGCAAAAGAGAAAACACCCGAGGCCAGAGGAAACATGGTGCATGGAACACCCAGGACCTGCCCCTGATGGGCTTTGGGGTCCAAAGACTGAGGGCAGTCAGTGGTGGCAATTCCATGAGTTCTGTACCAAACCCAGCCTCTTGCCCCATCTGACACTCACAGCAAGACTGGTGCAGTGTAAGGAGAATCGTCTACTGAACCTTCTCCACCCCTCAGCACTGTAAAGGAGCTCCCAGGAGCCCCCCAGAACACAGCTTGCTATTTACATCATGTAACCAAGATAGGACAGAACACTCACCATGCATTGCAAAATGCATTCTTAGGCCCTTAAATACAAACATGTTTCAGTTGCAAGAAGCAAACCACTCAGGTTTTGGAAATTAAGGATTTAAAAAAAAAAAAAAAAAAAAAAAAAAGCTTAAAATGGACTTAGCAGGTGTTTCCCCAAGCAAACAAAAGCTAGAACAGACTTCATGTTCTCTAAGCAACCCAGAGGAGTCCTTTGGACTAGTTTAAGACCAGCTCTGAAAGGGTTTGAAAGTATTTCTGAAGAGGGCACTCCCTGGCTTCCCTGCAGAAAGAAACTATAGCAAGAGCTTTACAGAATGTCAGCTGTGTTTAACTTGATCATCTCAGCAGATACCCCTGTGTACTGCTTTATTCACTCAAATAAGCAGGCTTTGCTTTTTAAGACATAAAAACAGTGAAACAAGTGACAGGGATGATTATGCTTTCCTGCCATCATTTGTAAATTAATAAAGTAGATTAATAAAACCTGCAGCTTTTGCATGTGAGGTCATTCAGGAGAGAACCATAAGCCCAGCCAAGGATCAGGGTTTTGTAGCACGCTGCCTATTGAAGACGGAAATTTAAACTTTCCAAAATTGGCTTTTGCTTTCATCAGGTACAAATTTGTTCCACAGGGCATTTTTTTTTTCTGGTCTGAAATTGGCAGAGGTGGTAACCCAATAACAGAATGCACAGAAATGACACCTGTGAAACAAGTGCACAGCTGGTGGCAGGAGGTTGGTCAGGCTCTGACAGGGTTTAGAACTATAGATAAAGGAAATTTGCCCTCGACAAAAACTGAGGTTGTCTCAGCATTAACTCAAAAGAAATGGAGGAAATTCAAACAAATTTTTTTAAAAATTAAATAAGTGCCTAAGGTGGTCATTTAAAAACACACAGTATTAAAAACCCAATTAATTTCATCAATCAATTTTAATCAATTTTATCAATAAAGTAACACTAATTACATAGGGTATGCTTCTTTCTATTATTGTAATCAGACCCGTCAGTTTTTACCAGGGCTCAGAACAGCCTCATTCCATTATGCAAATTCAAGGGCACAGGTAGGCAGTGGCATTGAGCAGCTTCATGTCCTGAAGTGCTCTGGCAGGTGTTCTCTGCTCACAGAAACCCTGCAAAACTGCTGGGCATCAAGATTTAGCCTTTTTCTATTGAAAAGCACCAATCTTCCAGCTCACTTTTCAAGATATTTCAATGGATTATTTAAAATAACCTGCAAATACTATTTTATGTAAGTACTTAATGTATTGCAAATACTTTTATAACTAAAAAGCCGCTACCTAGAATAAGTAATTTAAAAAATATTATTCAGATTTTATATCATCAATAAATATTCAACATAATTACCTGTTGGTAGTAGCTCATAGTTTCACTCTCTTGTTACCCTTAATCCTAATGAGCAGGTGTTTATCTAGATGAATGGCTTTAGTCTATGCTTTTAGGTAACCTATTAATCAAAAATTTGAGAGAGTTGATTGCTGGAGAAGAGCAGCAGTCAGACTGCAGAGTCACACTGGGCATGGCTGGTCAGAGGTGTCACCTTAAGCCCTGGCTGCAATCCTTCCTACAGCAAGGAATTTCCCAGGGAAAAAAAAAAAGAAAAAAAACCCACACCAAAACCCATAGGGATGATGGAGAGCCGATGCCAAACTTATTAATAAACTTCAGAGCACACAGAGGTGACCCCCACTAAAATGAGCAGTTTCCCCCAAACCCCACTGCCTTTGGCTTTTACTGGCTCACCTTCCCATGCCCTGTGCTTTTCTGTCACAGACCATGTGCCTTGGAAACACAGCTCCAAGAAAAAACAAGGAAGAGCATCAGAAATAGCAAATGTCAAAAGGCTGCAGCAGTGACGACTGAAACACAGGCCTGTACTCAGTCCTGAACAGGAAAAGGAAATACTCCTTTGGGAAGATGGAAATAGCAGCTTCTACAAACACGGATGCAATTAACACCCTTCCTACCCACCTGAAGTAGCTGTTTAAGTACTCCAAAGAGCTAAAGAGAACACAACCCTCAAATCCTCAGTGCTAAATTAGAGGCAGAAAGGATCTATTTAACATTAAATTAAATATAATTCCTTGGAAAGCATTGCTGTGAGTGGCACCAAACCACACCTTAGTTACAATGCTCAGTCTGCCTGTGTCCCTGGGCACAGCCACATTTCCCAAGGCACAGTTTCATTCTGCAGGTCAATAAATGCAAATAAATTGCACTTAATTTAAACAGTTATAATTTTAAATACTAAAGCCTGTTGTCAGCTGCCTTTTATTATACACTTGCGTGGCACCAGTGCTCTAAGAAAGAGCAAAGTGTCCATATGCATCACATGGAGTGTGATGGCAAGGCAGCTGTGAAGAGTAACACAAACCTGCAGAACAATATTTAAATTAAAAAAGTAGATTTACATTGCTTTCAATAGCATTCATTTAAAAAAAAAAAGAACCACTGCTCTTTTTTTTGGAACACAGTGAATTTAAGCATATCTGTATTTTAGTAGAACAGTTGAGTTATTGTTATACACAGAAGAACTCAAAAGTTTGGCACTTGTAACAATTTGGATTGGTTATTGCATCCTCCACTCTGCATGGCACATGCATGATAGCAGAGCCTGTGCACAGCATTTATGGAACAAACAGAGAAACTGCAGTTAAAACAGGGGAAAACCTCCCCAGACCCCTCAGTCCTTTACTTGTGCATTTACTGAGTCATGCAGGCACCAGAAATATTGCAAAACAGTCAAGCTGCCTGGTGTGCTCTGGAGGGGGAGTTCCTAAGCCAGGCGGTTCAGTAGCTTTGATAAAAACCTCTTATTTTCATCAAGATCTCTGCTCCTGAAGGCAGGCTGTGTGCCAGGCACGTGCTGTGCAGTCAAACACCAGGGACACAGCCTGCCACAGCTATCAGTGAGCTGATTTTGAGCTTTTTCTGCTTTCAGATTCAACTCTGTCCTTTTGTGTAATTTTGTATTAATTTCCCTTCAATCTAAAGATGAAGTACCTTCAAAGCTACAGAAATTCCACTTGACCAGAAGCAGCTGGGCTGACACAGCATTTTCACAATAACAAAAATTTAAGGATTAGGTGACAAAATATTTAAGGACAACCAGATCTTGCTATGGTACAGCAAAACCCAAGACTTCAGGATGCCTCTTCAAGTATAAAACCAGCAAGGGAGAGGATCTGAAATCCAACCCTGACTCTTTAGGAATATGAGCATCTGTCAAGGCCAGGTAAGGAACAGAGCCAGGCCAGGCATGTGCCTCCCTCAGAAACTCAAGGGATTTATTTTATGAGGGCAACAGCACTTTACACCTTTGCTTCTGTAATCTCTCTGCTGTGCACAGCCACCACAAGGCTACAAGTGTAAAACAAGCACAAAGGACACTGCTGTGTGCTTACAGTAGCATATACTTTTCCCCCCACTTTTCCCCTAAAATTGACAATTCCAACATTTTTCTAAAATTATCTGTGGCACAAGAAAAAAAGGAAGAAGAAACTTTTCTTGGGGGAATTGTGGGAAGAGATGGAGTAAGGAGAGAAAAAAGCCACCACTCATTCCATCTTCCGCAATTCCTACCCCGCATTTGGTGATTTTCTCATTTCAGTAGCTGGGGTGGGTCCAGTTCCTCACTAGGGAAAGGCCAACAGATGCAGTGGCCCAGCCCAAGTGCCTCAAGCTCAAGGTGGCCCAGCCAGTCCTCATCCTGCACAGACAGCTGGCCAGGACACACATTCAAACAGTCACCTGTGGAGGACCTGAATGAATGTCAGTGTCAACTCATCAGCTGGGAGGAATTAAGGCCACTGTGCTAAGCAAGGACAACTTAAACAAGTTTCTAAGCTGCCAAACCACCTAAAACCCCCGGACTGCAACTCGGAAAAACTCCCGAGTTGTTTCCCATGTGGTTCAGCCATCATGTGCAGCGGTACACAGTGCCAGGAGAGCAGGGACAGCTGAGTGGTGGCATTTACCAGTGAACCCAGCTCAATCTACAGCTGTTTGCACATTCAACACTCAGCAAACTGGTGACCTCCCTCCTCTCAGCACCTCTGGTACCATCACAGCCTCCCTCCCCTTCTGAAATCAACCACCCCTCAGTAAAGAGAAAGAGAAGCCAGAGGTGAGCTCTGCCTCTTCACCCCTACACCATCACTGGTACAATCCCTGCAGAAAGGGGAGCCTTGGCTTCAAAGCCTTGCTCCAAATTCAGAGGGAAATCAAACCTGGTTATTGCACAATCCAAGGGATGCACTCCCAGATCAGAGCTGGACAGACAGAAGACACATCCCTTCCCTCCTGCACACACAGAGCCTAGAACAGCTCCTGGATCAGTCCCACAGACAATGCAGATGGGGAATGGTCCCATCCCCTTAGGCAATGCCAAAGAAACCAGTTTTGACATCTCAGGAGTGCCTAAAGCTTGAGCACGCACTCAAAACCCCTGGAGAACATCCTTGGAGACTTGGTTCCCAGCCACAAGGAACGTGACATGAGTACAGTGTGCTCAGAAATTCAGTTTGCGACTGGTTCAGGTACAGAGGCCTAAACTTCTTGGTCAAATCTCACTGAGTGCATTTGCAACATGCTCCAATCACCAGCAGATTTGTTTTATTTTTCTTTAAAAAAAAATTAACTAAGAACACCTAGTGTTAATCCTACTCTAAGTGTAAACATTTGGTTCAGTAACTTGAACTGCAAAACACTGCTAGAGTATTTACTTGGATTTATCATGTGCATTTATCACTTACATTTTCTGGATGCTGAATGCCCTCAAGTGTACTGGGAAGCTACAGGGACTCAGGAGATAGCAGCTGGCAATATTCTGAATAACATTTTCTGAAGTTTTCCAAACCACTTAGAAAACTGAGCTCAAAGTGAAACAGATACTTAGGAACATTCATCACTTTTGCATATGGGATCTTGGCACTTTGTCTGAGGAAAAAAAAATTGACCCATGTAAGATTTTTGAAAAAGGGGAAGTTTTACATAACTAACAGCACTTGATTTATTTCACAAGCCGGCCAAGGATGGAAATAGTGGTTCACATTTCTGTGGTAAAGCATTATATATAAATTTAAAATCTAAAGACATATATATATATATACACACCAAGTTTACTGCAATGCATAAATATATAAACTTTTTAATATGCCAACTAATATAGGTCAGAAAATCGATGTATATAGTTCAAGTTTTGCAGCACTTCAGCATTGTAAAAAATAAAAATAAAAAAAAAGGTCAGTGGGTTGGCTGCTGCCCTTTTCCTCACCCTCCCACACTCCTCTGCTCAGGAATCAGAGTAATTCCAACCCCACATCAGTGCTATGGAAGGACTGAGCAGAAGTAAGTTTCAGAATGGCTCTTCAAAGACTATTTAGTGAAATACCAATATTTTGACCTAGTTTGGGATCATATTTCAACATATGTAAAATTATTTCAATAAAGATGAGGAAGGTTTACACTAACACAACTGAGGGCAGAGTTTGGCTTGTCTGAGGTCCACAAAGTTGCAGATTGGATAGTCTTGTATGTAGTTATAATACTGGTTGTACAAAGTCTCTTTTTCTGAAGGGCAGGAGGTATTATTTCTATTTTCCATCTCTCCCAGTTTATTCCTTTTAAATAAATACAGGTTATGTCCCACCCATCACAACAACAATGAAATCAAAAATTGAGGTAAAACTGTTCTATCAGCTGATCTTGACTACAAACAAAAGTCAATTAAATATCACTACTGATGTGAACAAGGCTTAGTAAGAAATAAAATGCAAGATACTAAGTTCTTCACTATAACCACACCATAAAACCCAGCTTCCAAAGTCAGACAGCAGTAAACAAGACTGTACTGTAGCACAGAAATCATTAGTAAACCAACTTTTGATCCCAATTTAAAGTCACTGTACAATTTTTCCTTAATTCTTAGTTCAAACCCCATGTTTTCTGCAAAATAAATATAACCTTGTCATATTTCACTTTTGTTGTAAGAGACATAAAATACACCTTTCTACAATCCTCAGTCTTAAAAACCATTCTTAGCTTGCAAGCGATCTGAAGTAAAAAGGAACACAATCTATTTAGTTTGTCCTTTTGCTCTTACCAAAAGCAGCAATCATCACTAACTGTTCCAAACATGTCTTCCCTTTTCACTTCAAGGAAAACAGCCACCAAAGCCCACCTAGAAGCGCATGCCACCCACCTGCAGACCAGTTTGTCAGGCTACTCGAATGACAGCGTAGGGAAAAAACTGTTTACTTCTTTGTGGTGTACTGTATCCATTTCCTGGGGTGTATCCATTTCAGATTAGTCCATTTTAAATATATTAAAAATATTTGTCAGAATGAAACCGTTGCAAATTAATGAAAAACCATATGTACACACCTCCACCACTTTTTAGGCACAGACCTTATCTTTTGAGAAAGGACTAGAAATAAAAGGTGCAACGACCAACACCTCCTGTGGCCTCAGGCTCCAACAGCAGCACAGCAGGGAGGTTGGTTATCATGTAGCTTCTGTGTACTACAGCTATCCAGTTCCAGATAGCACATGGATTCATATCAGTTCCCCGCAGGGGAAATGCACCTGAAAGCATTTTTTTGTTTTGTTTTTGCTTTTCAATAAGCTTCGCCAAAGGAAACTGATTCCCACCAGTTTCACACACAAAAATCCTACTCCAATAACAAGGTTTAAAATCCAAATGGTTATGACTGAAGGTGTTTCCTTGATCTCCCCTTTTATTTTCCCCCTTCTCTCCTCTTTAATGTGTACTTAAGTTATTTGTTCCCGAAACAAGTACTGAGACTCAAGCTTTGTAAGCATTTAAAACAAAAACAGTTACCATACCAAAGCACAGCATACAGTGTAATTTTCAGCTGTAATTTCTCAGCTTTTCCTTTAAATAGAGCTAGATTATGGTGGACTGCACAGAACTCTTCCAGTCTCCTCCCCTGGCAGCGCACGGATCACGGCGAAGGGACGCGGATGCGGAACAATCCCTGCTGCAGCTGCAGCCGGAAGAGTTTGCAGTTGGCGATCCGCAGCGCTGCGCAGCCCGTCCGGCGCAGGTCTGAGGGGAACAGCGGCTTCGTGCGCTGCCAGGTGCCCGTGCTTCTCTTAAATTCCCTAACATAGTCATAGTTTGTACCTGAATGAACGAAAAAAGAGATGAAATGCTTAAAACTCACTGCAGCTGCCACCACGTTTAACCTCTAGTAAGGCAAATATGTGAAAGAGAGCATGCACAGGAACACAAATCAGTGTCTGGATGGATGGTTGAAATTATCGTCAAAAAGGAACTACTATTACATTTCTGATCTACTTAAACCCACCAAATTTAGAATTTTGTTTGCTTATATTTTGGAGAAAACCCTACTCCACGCTCATATACGTACACATGTCCACAAAGGTCTTCCAAATCTCTTTTACAGAGCATGGCCAGATGCTGGCAGCTACAAACTGAGCATGTTTGATAGCACACATCTATTTGATTGGGATTGAGAGCCAAGAGTCACTCTCACATCCATATGAACCACTGGACAATGCCCCTAGAATGCAGAATTGCCTGTTTCCCACTCAAAGACAGGTGCTACAACCTCAGGCACTAACAGGTCTTCTTGTACTTAGATAAAAGCAGTAACACGCTCTTTAGTCCTGGTCTCTTGTGGTCTTCAAACTAATCAACCAAATCAAGCCAAGGCTCATAGCACTGAACTTCTTACTGAAGAAATCCAAAACCAGCCTGTGTGAATGTCCAGCATAATCCCATAATCCCCCTGACCCACAGTGACAGAACAGTGTCCCAACCTCTTATTCTTAAAATGTTCAGTCTCACCAGTGCCAAGTAATCAAAATATTGGAAGGAACTGAGCATAAAGAGGTTTTTAGTCCTGGCTCTGACCTGTATCGAGATCTCCAATCACGTATATGCTGGCTCCGATGGGCACAGCTCCATACACAAAAGAAGAGCTAGTTGGGATACATAAATTCTGGTCATTTAGATAAATCCACCTGCAAAAACAACAATTGAAAAACAGGATTTGATTTTTAGTGAGCACATTTAAAAAAATAATCCAGAGTCTTTTTGCAGCTGTAATCTTTGACTCAAAAGCAGAGTGTACATAATAATTTGTTATGTAAAGGGAACATTGCATAGTTTGGGATAGTCCTGGTTTCTCCCTGCCAGGAAAAGCAGCTAGTACTGCTGTATCCTGACGTTACTTAATTTCAGAATTGCTCCACTCATCTGTGTAATCGACCTATAATAAATTATTCTTGCAGCCACACAGTATGACCTTCTGGAAGAGAGCAGGCATGTTAGAGAGCTAACTATGTCCGTCAATCTTCCCTACAGAGAAAATTTTAGGCAGTTTTAAAAATAGTTTTTAAATTGTCTGTAAAATAAACACATATAAGTTTTAATGGTCCATAGTAAGGGAAAAAACAAATTGCTGTAGCAGAACCTTGTTATTAAGCAGTGTCTCCCCCATATAATTCTTCAACTTCTTTATTAGTGCTTTATCAGGAACAACAAATCCTTGCCTGCTATGAAGAATGCAGCACTTGGCAATGCTTAACTTCAAACAAGGGATAGAAGACTGGAAATCAAAGTGGTAATGGAATTTGGAAAAGAAATGTCCTTTATCTGGAATTGCCACAGACCTTTCCAATCTCATATCAGGCTCTCTTCAATCCCTTTCCAGCTCCTACAGTAATCTTACAATTCCCCTGTGTTCACTGTAAGCATAGGCTCATTTCAACACTACATCAGCCTGATCTTTCCACCAAGTGAAGAGCAGTTTTCCTTGTTGAAGACTTTGGGAAACAGGTGGGGATGTACTCCTCATCCACGTGGGATGCTGGTTTATAAAGAGGTCCCAAGAGTTATCAGCATCCACTCTCTGGTTCTGAAACAAATTCCTACCAAATGCTGCTGCACCTTTTCAGATGCTGTCACAGTTACCACACACAGACCCTGACATGTACAAATCAAGGCCATTTTAGGGGACTGCTCCTACACTTTTCATTAAATAATTTACAGAGAACATGAAGGTCTGAGAAACTTTAATTTGAAGGAAAAAGTTAGAAAATGCCCTCCCAGATACTGCTGATCTTTGAAAATTCTGCATCATCTGAACTCCTAATTCGGAAGTAAACCGTTCTTCTGGCACTGAAGGAGATGCTGCTCCATATCAATTATCTTGGAGACAGAAATCAATTTTTAAAGGGCAAATGAAAGAATTGGCTGTCCATTATTTTGTCTGTGCTGTATACTGAAGGATTAACATTCTGCACAAAGCAAGGAAATGGTTTGTAGCTGTCACAGAGGAGGACAGATGAACTAAGGAGAGAAAAGGAGAAGTTCTCTACACTGTTTCAGAAACTCTCACAGATCAAAACAACTTGCACCATATTTCATTAGCTTCCTTCCCTTACCAAGGAAGGAGAAGGGCACAGTATTTTCACTGCTTTTTAGCAGCAAGTGACCTAGAATTCTGAAAACTGAGTAAGTGGCAGAGAAATGCACAAGGAAGATTGGATTTTTTTTTTTTTTTTTTTAATTCTAACTATAGGACCAGGTTAAACAAAGGAAAAAAAAACTCATATCAGGAGCTTATCTGCACTAGATACTCTGGGTTTTGGAGTTCACATAAAAAACCCTAAACCCACAGGGTGAGACCCAAGAATTTTCCTACTTTGCACCACCAAAGGACAGTAGTAAAGTTTCTGTAGCTGCTTTTGAAAATTCATCCTCAGGCTTTCTCAACATGTATGCTTTAAAAAACAGGCACCACTTTTCAGGAACACTCACAGCAGCTTTAGCAGTTAAAACTAGGAAGGAACAAAGACAGGAAGGGCAAGGGGTCACGTTTCATCAGAATTTGACTAAGCTCCAGCTTAATGTGGGTTGTGCCTGCTGTTTGAACAGTATGGAAAAAACACCACGACCAAAAATTCACAATCTTCAGGAATCTGAAAACAGTCCTTGGAACAGAACTCTTGCGTACTTCCCTGGGATGGCTCCACTCAGAGTCCAAGAGGAGCAGGGGGAAGGCAAGTCCTGCTGCAACCACGGGCAGAAGTGATGGCTCTGAAACTGGAACAGGCTTCCACCCAATTTAAAAAAAAAGAAAGGAAAGAATCTTGATTTCTTTTAGTCTTAAAGTGAGACAAACAAAATATCCATCCACACTGCTGTAGCTGACGAGTGGGATAGGGGTAACTGCTTTATTTCCAAGTGGGAAGTAAATAAAGATGTGATACAGAGCCAACATATTCCAGACACATCACCTCAAGATCACCCAGCTGGGAGAGGAAGCTTGGAAATGAATGAAAATCCAGGTTCCTCTCATCTGACAGTGCTATCAATTAGTGTTCTCATTACATTTGCATAAGCACTTGCTTTTAATGAAATTCCTGCACACTGACTGGAAGAATGTTGCTAATTACACATACTATGTTACAAGACTATTTAGTTCACTAGTTACATGCTGCTGAAAGCTCTTTCTTATTTCCATGATGTTCCAGTAGCAAAAAGAACATGGTAAAGGATCTTTTACCAAAGTATCGCTGCTGAAAATTCTCTTTCACTTTTATCCCCCTTAGTACCTGCAAATTTTCATAATTCCATTTTGAATCGTGAGAAGAAGGAAGAAATCCTACCCCACTTACAGACCACCAGGGAAAGGCAGCAGTGGCCATCCACCAGCAGATCTTGCAAAGAATTTTGGGATGTATTAAGTATTTCCAGCCATCCACATTGAAAAGAAAAAAACTCAAGTGTGTACAGACATCATCCAATTCTCCACTCACCTACATGGTGCAAAAAGTGCATTATAAATTATGAACTCTGATAGAAAGTCTGCCCCATCAAGGTCTTGAGTATGTATTTAAGACTTCCTGCTTTTTATGGAGTAGATGAACACTGGATCACTGGGTGAAGGATACCTTCACATTTCCATCTTCCATTTTCACATTCATTAAATCTGTTTTTAGCTTGATCAATATTTTAAAAAACAGGATACAATGCACACAAAGCTCCATCTATAGCCTTTGGAAAAAAAAAAAAAATCTACACCCTGCAAAAACCCTGCAGTCTGACATACAGCTTTTTCTATATTTGGGTTCACTTAAATCCACTCATGCACGTGACTCTGAAGACAGCCTGACAAAACATTTATTAATACAGCAGCACTTCAAGTACGAGAATTATTTCCTACGTTACCCTGTTCACATTTCATGTGGATGCTACTATTTTGTCTCACTTCATTTATTCTATTACTTGTTTATACAGCACAGCTTAACAGGAGTCTCAATGTTTATTTTTTTGCTAGTGTGAAGATCTCAGCATATCCCCAGTCTTTGAAAAGTCTGCGTCATGGCTAAGAATAACAATTTTGAAAGACTCTGCACTGTGAGTTATTTTGGAGTAATTTACTGTCAAAGTAAACAATATTAAACAAGTTCAGTCCTTTAATCCAATTCAAGCCAGAATTATGGCAGCTTACATGAATTAATATGTTTATATACTGATGTGAGTACATCCTTAGACATTGACACTGGAGTAAAACCTGTAATTCAGACACTCAGGCTCTGGGTGCCTGGCATGATGCTCGACCCTGTGTCCTGGCAATGAGGCCTGAGGCACACATGGACATTTGTGCAATGACACAGGTGTGCACTGCTGCACGTACCTCAGCACCAACACCATCCCACAGCTGAACTCACAGTCCAGAGAGCTCTCTGCATCCACAGAGAAAGGGAACATAATGGAGTTCTCCACTTAAAAACAGCTGGAAAAGCCCACAGCTCATTACAAAGTATGCAACATTGGCAAGTAACTTTTTAAAAAGTCACTGTGAATTTTGGTTTAGACTGCTAGAATTGATCTGCTACACAGATCTCTGAGGGTACCAAAACCTGGGATAACTGACAGACCCTGGAGCTGAGTGCTGGAACATAACACAGAGACACTGCACCCTCTTCTGGCTACAGCACCCTTGGGCTGAGCTGGGGCCTTCCAAACCCTGGGAGCACCATCCCCAGGCAGCAGCTGCCATCATCCCAGCCTTCCCTGGTTCCCCAGTTTCCACAGAAATGCCCACAAGCTGTGCCCTGCCAGTAGGTTCATGCTGAATTAAATTTCTAAACTCAGACTGGGCAGTGACAGAGCAGAAAAGCAAAGTCTGGTATCTCAGCTACCCTCCCCATGTGCCTCCTCCATCAGCTCCATCAGTCACCTCTGCTGCTTCCCCTGCCCCGTGCCAGACCTCACACCACACAGGCAGCACTCAGAGCAGCTGGGGCAGCTGCAGTTTTATCACTGTTCCACTGGAATCCTGTGATAAGGATGCCCCCAAGGCCTGGGGCATGCCACCGAGCAAAGCCACAATCCCATCCCAGTGTGGCAGGCAGCAGGTGGCACCACGGCCTCACCTGCAGCGCCCAGGCTGGGCCCTCCCAGCTCCCCAAACTCCACTGCATGGACACCCAAACTGCACCAACCAGCGAAACAGGTTTGCAGTCACTGCTGAGGAATCATGACCTTCTGAAGAACAGAATCAGGCTGGAAATATTTCAAGTAAATCCACCGAAAATAGCAAGTAGGATAGAGGGGAGCACTTCTTTCCCTTTCCAAGACCTATTGCAAAACATTAATAAGCTTCTACCATTTCCCCAGCCTCCAGAACACTAGCAAACACTAAGGGAGCATCAGCAGCAACAGCCCCTCTGATCTGTCTGCTTCTTTTAACCAATTTAAAGGATGTTTTTCTTCAGCTTCATTTGATTATAGCTAGTTTAAACATCACTTTGAACTACAGAGAAGACCTCTTCATACAGAAATTAAAGTCTCTTTACAACCACATCTTGCAAGAAAATTATATAATGAATTTACATCTACTGTTCTATTTTTGCATCCTTTTATACAGGTCACTGTCATAAATCAGCCTTGATCTTCTAATAAAACATGCTAATCTCCTTCACTTGTCAACAAGCCTTGAAACATCTGACCACAAATTCTTTCTAAAATCTAATTTATGAAAGAAGAATAATCCAATTTACATTTATATGCCAGAAAAAAGTCACTGGAGAAACCAAGGTTGTCAGTTATGACTGAAGAAAAGGGTGACTAAACAAAAATTTCAATGTAAGGTAACATTTTGAACGGTTACCACATATAGTAAGGTGGATTCCACAACCAGAGCCAAAAGATAAGAAATGAAGTAATTGGAAGCAAACTCAAAACAAACAGAAGGAGATGAGCCATGCAGTGTGGTGAGGTGTGGGATGTATAGCATCCATAGTGTCTTTCCTATGGCAAAAGCCTACATGGGTGCCATCAGCTATAAATGCCTGGAGCAGAAATGCATTAAATTTCTTATCTCTAGTTTAGGAATTCCCTAAGATGCAAATCTTTGGAGGTAGGAATGGATCATGAAGAAATATTCCTGTACATACATACATTCCTCCATAGAACCACAGGATCATTTAGGTTGGAAAAGACCTGTATTGAGCACTCAACAGGGAGCTGTGGGCACAAGTAGGGATGGGGGCAGCACTTGGGGAAATTGCAGAATGCAGGGGAAGAACAACAAACTCCCTGTGTGACCAAGGTGCTTCTCCTGTCCAGGGGCACTCAAGATCCACACGGTGGCTCCAGGGCTTTAGGCTTGGCATGTTAGAGGGGAAAGTGGAGTGGATGAGCCTTCAGTAACAGCCAAACCAGGTGACATAAAGTGAAATGAGCAACAGACACATGGCACAGACCTCATGTGATTCAGAGTGCAGGAACAAGGGGTGAGGAAGCAGGCAGATGACTGGATGGCAAGTTATTTTCTGTTTAGAGCTGCAGCCAGTTACCTTTTAAACTCATCATGATAAAATTCTGATTTGCATGTCACCATCTCGCTGGCTTGGCTGTCGTCACGACTCCTGACCCCACCAAATACATAAAGCTCAGAGGCAACTCCACAGGCCACTGCCCCAAATCTGAAAATCCAAACAAGGAAAAAATATTAATGCAGTGTATCAAAACCCTTGTGCATACCCTTCTGAACTTTATCCATCTTTTACTCTTTTATTTATTTATACACACAGATGCCTTAAATATCCAGCAAGATGAGTCATGGATATTAATTGTAAGCGCCTAATTCAGATCACAAAAAAACCCCCAAAACAGTAAAAATATTTCTGCCTAAAAATATTCTGAAGTTCCAATTGAACTATAATTTCCTGTTTTCACTTTGCATCAGAGAACTAGTGCTTGTAACGCCACGGCTATGTTTCTACAACATTTGTATTTATTGCCTGGATGCTTGTCTTTACTCAACCACATGTCAACTACAGGCACCATGACTCACAAAGACCTGGTGAGATTCATAGGCCATCTTCACAGATTCATCAGAAAAAGGACACTTTCCTCCCATCAGAGGGCTGGAAAAACAATCTAGTTCCCCCACTTCCATTTTCCCTCACCTCCTCTCTTTGAGAGGACAGATTGCTGTCCACTGCTGAGTCCTGGGGTCGTAACACTCCACAGATTCAAAGAGTTTTCCATAGGAGCCTCCACCCATTGCATAGATTTTCTTCTTCATAGCTGCATAGCAGCCAATCTTATGGAAAAAAAGGAAAATATATCTGAAATTACATACAAATGCACAGTATTGAGAGCTCAAAGCTGTCTATACACACAGAGACATTTGGGTTGCCTATACCCCATGTCAAACATGCGAGGCACAAAAATGCTCAGCCAGAGTTTTGTTTCAGTGTATAAAGACAGAAGAAGCTGCTCACTCTTATTTCATTTTGAGACTATTTGCTACAGCTTCTACTTGAAGCAAAATATTAAAATACATATTTTTATACATATATATATATATACACACATACATATATCTGCATTGACTATTTAACAAGAAGCAACACAGTAATATAAGATGTAGTTTTTACCTTTCTAACCATGGTCAAGTCTGGCTGCTTGGTCCAGGTCCGGCTATAAATATCATAGCTCTCCATAGAGATCAGCTCCCTTTCACCATCCTCACCTCCCAGAATATACAGAATCCCATCAATCTCTACCACACCAAAATTGTGTCGTGCCTAAGGAACATCAATAAAGTCAACATTGAAAAACATAACTGCCATTGTGAATAAATGAACACAATCTTATTTTTCAGAGTATCTGTCTGCACAGTGCTATTGGTATTATGCCTGGCTTTTGTTTTGGTTTTTCTTTTTTTTTTTTAACATGGTGAAGTCCTAAACACCAGCATAAGACTATTAATTTAATCAACTAAACAAAACAAAGGGTATCAAAAAAAAAAAAAAAAAAAAAAAGCAGAGCAGCAGAAGGCAGAGACCACAGAGAAATGTAAGAACAGAGCTTGGCCATATTTCAGTTCCCATAGTGGTGGTCTCCACAATGAAGCTGTTGCTTTCAGGTCCCTCTAGCAGCAAAGCCTGGACCCATTCTCTGTGCAAAGGCAGCTCTTCTATTTGGTATGTATGAGCCCAGCTACCCCTCAGTCTCACAGCAAACATATCACAAGCAGGAAATTTAATGCATCATAACTAAAATGTCACATGCCTTTGTCAACCAGAGAGTGCAAAGAGGAAAATCCTGTGGTAAACAACTTCTTAATAAACACCCTGTGCTGATTTACAAAGATAAAAACACAGGTGTATTAAGGATATATGTTTACAAATAACAAACTGTTACTTTTTGATGGAATGTAATTATGAAGAAGGAAGCATTAACTCAAACCAAACCTAAATATGTCTGTGCAAGCCAAGTTCTGTATGTTGGCCAGTCCTCTGTCCATCTTTTCTGCACAGTCCGATCCCTTTGTCCATCTCAGAGGTCTCTTGTTTTAGAAGGCCAGTACACGCAGAACATTAAGTATACTATAGGACTGATTCATTATGAAATTCCTGAAATTTTGTAGTTCATCTTACAGTTAGCTCTTCACCAATTGTTTAGTTTTTCCAGATCCAGCAGTCAGCATCAGACCACAAGAACAACAGGATATAAGCAGAAGTCAGTCTGTAGCATGATTTTGAATGTGTAAGATGCAAGCGACTGGAGATTCAGAATAAAATTTTGCAGAAGGAAAGGAACATTTTGCCAAAGTAAAAACTTAAATCCCAACAGTTAGATAGAGATCTTGCCTCATGCATTGGTGGTAAGGAACTCCATGAATTGGTGTCTGGATCATATTTCTCTCCAGAGCTTAGCGTTCCCTTGTTTTCATCCTGACCACCAAGCACAAATAAAAATCCTTCTGTAAAACAAAATGTAACATAATCTTAAGAACACGACTCTCAAGAAGAGGACCCACACTTGCACACTGAGCAAAACAACATGACTGGTGAGCTGTATTCTGGAATTCACCAAGAGATCCAGACCAGTCACAGGTCAGACTCTGGACTGGAGAAGGTAAAGCACATAGTTACATCTGACTCAAGTCTGCCCCTGCAGATACCCTTCAACATATTCAGTGATGCAGTAACTAGAATTTATGAAATACTCCTGGAGACACAGATGTAGCAGATTCCCACAAAACATTACAGGAATAGTGATTTTAAGACACTCAGATGACAGGGATTTTCACAAAATCAAGTACAGTTTTGGGCAGACAAAGGGGAAGCATGAAATAACCCCAGTGCAGTCAGTCTTGAAGAAAATATATTATTATAAGCTGTATCTCAGATTTTGAGGCACTGGTAAGTTTTGGTAACACTGACTTTACGAAGATGAAGTTCCCCTTTACCTGCTGACAATACTCCATGATTGATCCTTGGAATACTCATAGGAGCAAGTTCAATCCAGAGCTGTCTATTGGGATCATAAAGAGGACACATACACCGCATCACTGAGGTTGGTTTCCGTGATCTGAACACAGGGTGGGGAGGGAACAAACAGAAACAGAAAGACAAAGACAGAGTTTTACGAGTTCACTGTTAACACCTCGTGTCCAAAGCTGGCTTGTTCTTGTTTTCGTGTATATTCATCACGTGCCATTTCCCTGGTAAGGAGAAGACCCCCAAACCAAACATGTAAATTGAGTCTGTACACACTTGGAGACATAAAAAGCTGATTGACTTCATTCCTACTGTATCTGCCTGTAACCTTTTTTATGAACTTTGAACGAGCTAAGAAGAACTGATAGAGCGTATTAGTAATGTCTGAGTAAAGTGATTCACAAACTGACATGCAAAATGTTATCTGAGTGATTTACTACACTTCTATAAAGAGCTAACATCTAAATGCTAAATTTATTTAAACAGGACTGAATCCTCCCTTCTGCTGCAGGGAGTACTTAACAAACAAAAGGGATCCTTGTGTGGAACAGGAATTTTCAGCTTAACTCAGATGCACCAATAATGACTTTTTTTTTTTGAAACCACATCTATTATAAACAAAACTGTTTAAAGCACATGTTCATTACTTCTAAGTTTTGTTATAGATGCTTTTCAGATCATCAGAAATTATTCTGTGTTTAAGTCTATTCAGTTTAAAAAAAAAAACTAGCCAACACTTACTGAACAAACAATCCTGCTCTAAGTTTACAACACGTGGAATGTCAGAAACAAAATAACTATTTATTGCTGAATCACCCCCAAAGGTATTTTAGGTGTGTCTGACCAACGTAAAACAAACTCAATGATAGAGTATCAAGTAATAGGTGCACATTCTCTGCACTCTGTGTTTTCCGAGAGCCACGAGTGCTGGCCCTGGCACCAGCTATCATGGCACTGCGCACTTACACTCTCTCTTCGCCCCCAACAGTCACGATGCACTCGGAGTAGCCCCGGGGCTTGAAGGAGGCCAGCATGGCCTCTCCCTGCTGCGGGGGTGTCAGGGGGATGTTGTTGCACTCCTTGACGATCTCTCGGACCAGCGGCTCGCTCATCATCTGCTCGCGCAGATACGCCGCGTCCAGCCCCGACACCCACACTGCCGACATCACATCCTTCATGTGGACCTGCGGAGCCAGCACAGACACAAAATCACTCCTGGCACGGAGGCACACGGACGTGCAGATGCTTCTGTGCTTAGCAAATACTTGAGGGTTTTTGATACTGGCAAGTAATAAATTATACAAGACAGTGTTAGTAAGAAAATGCACCAAGTCCTTAAAGTTTCTCTGTAAACATGCTACTTGCTTTCCCATCATCTAAACAAGATTGTATCATCAAATGTCAAAATGGTGCTTTTTTTTCTTAATGCCTATTAAATAATGAAGGCAGCAGATAATATACCATCCACACAGCTTTCATCCTCTTACTGCAATGCCGTGGTCTGCATTTCAAGCAAAATTCAATAAATTCTATAAGATTAGTCCTGAAAGAAACAGGTCTATTTCAAGCTCCCACTGAATTAGAATGAACACTCCGATTTGCGCCATGTTCAAAATACAAACATTTGGATGTCCTGACCTTTCTGGAATCTGAATCATGAGAAATCCACCTAATCACCGCTTCAAAGACGTATCTTTCGTTTCCAACATTGAGCTTTTCCATCGACAGCACTTCTTTCAGTTTTTGAGGAGTCAGTTCCAAGAATTCCTCTGTGCTGCTGACATCTCGAAAGTGAGTTTCCAGATACTCTGAGGCAAGGTAGTGAACATGATGCAAACAATAGTGCAGTGCAAAGTCCCGAATACCAATACAGTTCTCAGCAGCTATGCAACCTTCTAAAAACTCACAGCAGAGAGTTTTTAAGTCTGTAAGCAGCAGGAGATCAGCTGCCTGTACCACATCTTGGATAGTTTCTTCATTTAGCCTGATCTGCAAGAATTAATTTAGAAGTTATAGCTACTATCACTCATTTGTTCCATGACATGCCCGCATTCATTACACTCATTCTCAGTGGCTGAAAAATGGAGTATTAATGCCAATGTAAGAATCAGGAGAAACTGATATGACTGCTAACCATTAATTAATTAACACAGGGTTGGAAAGGCATTTGCTTGACAGAAATTGTGGAGCAGAAATTTTGATAAGTTCCTGAAGTAACCAACCATAAAATTGTTCATCTCATCCGGGAACCTAAAATGTGTTTTGCTGTAATAAAGATATAATTTTTTAAACCCCACATGCAGGAATGAATTTTAAGCCAAATCTGCCTTTTCTTTTTCTGCTGAAAGCTAAACTCATTCAGCAATCTCAGTCTGGTTCCAAATAAACCAGATACACCAACTTTAATTCCTGCTAAGGCTCCTGGCAGGCAGATCTGACAAGAGGCCACAGAGGTGGGCACGAGGGGCAGGGAGGGAGGGTGCCTGGTGTACTCCTGGATTACACTGAGGTGTAATCCTTACTGATGGGGTCTCCATCTCTGTGGCTACCAAAGCAGTCCTCTGTCACAGCTGACAAACACTACCTGTTTTAAAACAGGTTACTGAAGGTAGCCACCAATTTTAATACAAGCATTTGACATTGACTCTAAATTTTAAAGTCCTCCCCTGCTGCACAAGAAGAGGAGAGAACTGCAGAGCCTATTGCCTCTACTTCATAAGCACAGTCCCACTCTGCAGAACCTTTATCACAAAACTTTAAACACCTTTCAGGATAGCAGTGTTAAAATTCAAGTTATTTTGCCAAATAGTCCAGGTGAGGTTTAGGGGTTTTTTTAACACCATACCTGCCCACTGAAGATGTAGTCTAGTATCTCTTTCATTATATCAACAGATATCCCTTCGAGTTCAATCTTGTATGTTGAGCCATCATCCTTTGGAGGATTGTAATTCAATTTTGTTCTAAGAGAAGAGAAAAGGAAAAGAGCAAAGTTCAAAATCTGGGCATTGCTTGCTGTCAGTTTCTGAGGAATCTGAGATCTCAGAATATGGATGTCTTGAGCCACAACACAGATGTTAAAACCTTTCCATGTGATGGAAAAAGTGTCCTTTGAATTAGCACGTAGGTATGGCCTCTGATACTGCTCATCACATTTCCAAACTGAACAAATCCGCCAGCCTTGCAAACTACCCAGGCCATCAAAGAGCCAAAGTATGTTTTATCCCAGCTCATTCATCACAAGCATTCAAAAACTTCACTCAGACCTTCCAACAGAACAGCAGCTCTGCTGACAGATGAAACACAAGAATTTGCTTTGATAAAGGTGGGAAAAAACTCAAAGCAGAACAAAACCAAAGCTTTTTTTTTATAAAGGAAGAAATAATTAGAGTTAGCAGATGTGATCAGAATATTCACTGGCAGCACAAACATTTGGATTGCATTAACATTTTGTGTAGTTTATGATGTTATCAGCCTAATGCTGTGCTTGGCTGTAACCAAGCCATGCACTCACAGTTGCAGGGAACAGCCCATGTGCTGCTCAGCAGAGCTATAAATACTCATCTACATCAGTGGACACTTCACTTACAAACCATTTCTTTAAACATACCAGGAGCACTGTGATGTGCCTGTGAATAGAATGGTGGAGGTTAGGGGAAAAGCTGAGGAAGTAATAATAGCACAGCAGACACTTTGCTTTCCACCAGCTGTCAGTGCAAACACTTCTTCCAGGAGAGACAACTTTAAGTGTTCAAAAGGGAGCAGCATCTACCAGTTTGGTGCCAACAGCCACAAGAGCTAATAAAAGATCAGTTTTAAACATATTTTTCCACAATTTGGTCAACGAAGAATACATTATACAAATACAAGAAAGTTTGTTTCCCTACTTCTGTGTATATATAGTGACCTACATCTATACCACAGCACACAAAAATAAAAGCTTTTAAAACTTTTTAACATTCATTTGAATATATTCTTAGATAGAATCAGATTCTTAATGTGAAAAGCTGTGGCTTTGCTAAGCTGAAAGTGTCCAGCCTCCTGCTATCCACACTCATGCTAAGCAAATACATAAATAGGTCTTAGCTAAGGGCAGATTCTGACTCACTTACTCATATAGGAATAAATTAAGTTTCTCACAAAATAAGCTGTAACTCACATCAAATAAAACCTTGGTCTGTAAGGAGCTATTTTTAAGTGTGAAGAAGGGCAGTAATTTTAGCCTTTTAGTTCATCATATTTGTGGTCCTGTCTTCACATCCCTTTTCTACTCTGGAGAACACCCAGAGACAGCAGTGCCCATGCACCAGGGCTGGAGCTGCTTCATGCTGTCTGTACAGCACCTGGCACAAGTTACAATACAAATAACAGCAACGGTGGCGTGGGTTAGGAAATTGTTTATTTCCTAACACCTGCAAGGAGATTAGGAAAATTATGTGACTCCCATTAAAGCACATGCTGCAATAGCAGGCATTGATTTACAGCTTGTCAGCTGAAAACTCCTGCCCCAAATGTACATTTCCAGCAGAATGTACAAGCCTGAGCCATCCTTGCCCATGTGCAATGTGCATTTTCCATGTCTACAAGCTCCAAACGAGTCACAGAGCATATACACACAGGGCAACGTGCTTCTTTACACACATTTTCAAATCCATCCAAACTACCTCCATTTATACTTGAGTTCTGGGATTCTTGGTTTGTAACAACAGGCACTTTTGGATTCCTAGGAAAAAACTGTGTTTTCTTTTAACTTAACATAAAATGTATCAAGATTCCCAGGGTCTGGCTTCCTTCAGCAGAAAAGACAGTTGGGTGATGCCTGGGTCTCACATGAGTCAGGTACCTGTAAGTAGCTGTTATGATCAAATACACAACAGCATCTACAGAGAACCTGGGGTGTCCAGCACATTGAGGGGCTTAAAATCCAAGGCGTATAATAAGCATGTTGATGCCAGCACTAATGGGGAGATTAGGAAAAGGACTTGTGCTACTTATCACTAACTTTCATCTTAGCATCACCTGTACACACCCAAGCTAAATCAGCTTATTACATGGACTTTACGCTGACGCCTCCTGGTAACAAGAAAGTGTTGTTCAGAGTTTTTGGGTCTTATCAGGGTAGATGTCCTAATTACTGTGTACTTTTTCAGACATCAACAGTTCGTGAGCTGTAAAGAAATTACCTAGGCCCTAATCCAAGGCCAAAACATGAAGGCAAAGCAGAAAAATAACCTTGAGAATAAATCAAATTACTTCAAAGTTACAGACACTCGGATCTAGGCAAACATTCACCTTATGCAAATGCTTCCCAATTCAGATTAAGTTTTGTTCCTATCATATGTCATGGGAGGCAAAGTGATGCATCTGTCACATGATTTTAATTTGTTGGTTAATAAAATATAAGGTTATTTATTTCAGTACAAGTACTTCTGAGCTATGCCAAGAGAGCAACTCCCAAAGGCAGCTGGAGACCTTGTCACTCACGTCAAAACTGCAGGACAGCTACTGGCTGTTGGGAAGAGGGGAGGAAAAATATGATGCAAGGACATATTATAACCAGGTTTGGGGCTGAAAAAGTTTAAGAAAAAAAAAATCATGAGTCCAAATGGAAAGAAAGCTGAAGGAGGAGAGAAAAGTAGGAGGTGTGCAAGCAGAGGGCAAGGAGCTACATCTCCTCTTGCATCACCCAGCATCAGCTGTGACCTGCACCCACACCTCGCCTGCAAGCTGAGGTCTGGGCATCCCTGTCATAACACCAGAGACAGAAGCAGAAAGTTTCCAAACACATTTGATCCCAGTTCAGAAAGACAATGGGCAGCACATGGAGAAATATTTAACCCTTGCCCACTATCAAATTTCATTTTAGAAAGTAAGTTACCAGCTATGTTTAAGCAGAAGCTCTCCAATCTGTCAGCATCCCAGAAGGAGGATGCCTTCTTTCTGCCATGCTCCTCCTCAGGGTGATTTATTCAGCCTGTGATTTGCGTGGCTGAGAGCTGGAAGGGGCAATCAGCAGCCCAAGGTGCAGAGATGGGCCAGCTGCAGCACAGCTGCTTCTAACACAGGCATGTGACAGCTTCCTACTGCGGACAACATTTCTAATTACTTTAAAAGCACTCCAGGCTGCCAAACCACAGCTGAAAAGGCTGCCTCAGTCGTCCTTAATTCACATAGAAGACCAGAACATCGAGATCTAGAAGGAAATAACCCTCCCAGCCAACCAAAACCCCCCATGAGCTGGCAGCAGAGCACAGGCAAGACAGACCTGGAGGAGGAAATGGAACAAGGCAACTTCTTCATCCTGTTTTCTCAAGTAATTTAATTTTGAGCAACTTGACTCCATACACATTTTAAAACAATAATTTCCATTTTTAAATTAAGACCATGATTGCAAGTTGAAATTGCTTCCAGTAACATAAAACTACTCTATAAATGCTCAACATCCATCCCAACATCTTGTGCCTCAGCAGGAAAACTGCTGGCACACACAACACCTTGGGCCAGTGGCATAAGAACAAATGGGTTGATGTTGTGTTTTGATGTTGTCTGTGTGACAAATTTAGAATCTGCTGTTCCACATCACTTAAGGAATACAATCTAATGAGTCATCTGAAATGCTCTACATGAGGCAGAATGAGGATAAAAATTCCAGTACCCCTTCTGTATACGTAAGCAGTATAAGCAAGGTGAATCCTCAAAATGAAAACACAGGCTCAGGAACTGATGTTGATACTGCTAGGGACAACAATTTACCTCTAATGACATAAAACAGATTCAAATAATAATAATTTAAAAAATTAAAAACAAGCAAAAAGCAAACCAACAGATAAATTAAGACTGTCCACAGTTCTTGTTAAAATTAGGATGGAATTTCCAACTTATTGTTACTTTAAAAGAGCAGAACAAATCAAAGCACAACCAATACTTCTGACCTTACAGTCAATCCCTGTGAAAGCACTGCTGTGGGGCAGTTAAGATTTATAAGAAGCAGGTTGAAAAAAGAATCCATGCATCTGAAAACTTGGTTTTCTTACACTTTATAGTTGAAAGTTTATAGGAGGGGAATAATCACTTTTAAATACTCAACTAGACAAAACAACAAACAAAATGAAAATTCAAGTTAAGAACTTGGCCACCACCACCACCACTTGCTTTCCTGAGTCAGACATAGTTTTGTGGGAATATTTCCATCTTTGAAATCTCCGTCTTATCTGTAAACTATTAAGAAAAGACAACTGAAGTGTTTTTACAATGGTCACATAAGTTATACAGAGAACAAGAGCACAACTCTTGGAAAGCTTTAATCCTTAGAGTGCTGGTATATTGGAACCTAAACAAATAAAGAAAACACCTGTCTGCAAAGACTGTGCCTACCAGAATGCTCCAGACCACACTCACCACAAGCAGGTTGTTGATATTTACAGTGAACGGCCATCAAAAAATCTGGGAAACAAGAGAGAGAGAGACGCTAGAGTTTGATGCTTGCAACACAAGACTTTTACCTGCTCTCACATCACCACGGTGCAAATGCAGTTCACTGACCTATTTACACTGCAGGGTGTCAGGAACCAGACAAGAGGGAGACACTTGTCTTTTGGAAAGGAGCTGTCTTCCAAATTAATGATTTCGCTCCAGATTAGCCATTAAGGGCTGGTCTATACATGCTTTGCCAGTATTGCCACACTAGCAAACTTTAATTTTCAAGCAGCAAAGCTGTCCTTCGAAACCAAAGGGCAATAAAATTGGGTTTGATGATTTATCCTTTACCTGCACCAGTGTTTTGGCCTTCTCCAGAGAGCGTCAGCATTTTAAAATGAAGTTGGACCTCCAAAAAATGGTTCCAGCAAAGACATGCACCAACCTAAAACATGCTCACAAGGATGACTCAGTCTCAAAAATGACAAGTGAGTACTTGGAGATTTTGCATCACTAAGGAGAAAACAAAAAAATCTGCTTTTAATGC